GTAAACCCTGAATTTGTGTACATTTCTGGATTTACACATCTGTCTTATTGTGTCTGCCTCTGACTGTTTCCTTACAACCCAGCAGATGCATTGCGACTTCAAATGGAAAGACCTATGATTAGTGGCCTTTTTTCCACATTGCTATGTTAGGTGTGGCAGTGGGTCTATTTTTGGGGCCATTAACCATGCTATCAACAGTGGTTAGACATCTGTCACTCCACAGGTCATGGGTTAGCAACTACAGTTTCGGCAATTTGCGGTCTTTTTGGCAATTTCCGTTACTTGTTTGGGAAATGTCGGCTGGGGTTTCGGAATGGGTCCTAATCTCTCATGAAATTTTGCGATTGGTGTGATTTTCACTACCTATAATTAGCTGAAAACGGCGGGAACGAACCCGATTAACAGCTGTTTTTTACATCTCACCTCCACAAAAACCTACATCTTAGCTCAGAAATGACATACAAGCCTAAATGAGGTACCATTGGAAAGAGATTGTTTACAGCTATCTAACTGTGCTGGTTTTATTGGTGTAGAGGGCATTTTAAAAATTTGACTAAAGTATCTACATGGGTTTGAATCCACATGAAGTTTTTTGTTTTTAAGACAACAGTGGCTTCCACATATTAATAATTATGATACAATTCTACCATATTCTATTCTATTTTTATATTTTAGCAGAGCACCAGACTCAAGTCAAAGAGTAAGAATAAATAAATGGATAAACTGCTGCTCTACCCTGTGTCAGAAAGTGTTGAATTAACTATTTGGTACTTTAAAATAAATGTAATGATCTAGTAATCTACTTTTTAAGCTCACTCTTGAGTCCAACCGAACAAATTCCCCACCTCCCAGCTGGTTCCATGTTGTTACGACAGCCGACGATGAGATGAGGGCTGGGGATGAATGACGTCAATGAAAAATAATAGAATCACTCGCTACCCGCTACCTCCTATGCGATTATTATAATGTAATGCAATACAAAAATACCAAAAGATATGCTAATTATAGCAGATTGTACAAATGCCGAATGAAAAATAAATGCTTACGGTTCACGTTTTTTACCCATCCAGACATCAGTCACAGGACCATACTGTGTAAATTCTCTCTCCAAATCCGACTTGCAAATTCGCTGCCCGATATCCCCAACATAAACTCGGTATCCTCCGAAATTACCTCCTTCATTGCTGGACCTTCTGGGATTCGAATTGTTACTACTATTATTCCTGTAGGACATTATTTTGCAGTAAGTCTACACTTTAATTATGAAACAAGTGATAAATAACCGTTAAAACAACGGATAATTCTGACCAAAAAAACGATTGTACTGCCAACGGTTAAAAATACAAATGGCAGCTACCTCAAACAATCGTCACGCCAGAGCTAGAGCAATATGAAGGTTTCGCACAAATGTTCCTGAAACCAGGGCAGAGCTAGAGCAATATAAAGGTTTCGCACAAATGTTCCTGAAACCAGGCCTGCCAATGGGACTTTTTTTTTGAAAAACCCCAGCTAAGCTGAACAAAAACCTAAGCAATACATAAGCAAAGAAAAAACCTAGATTTTTAAAAAGTACAAATTTTATAGTAACGAAAAAAAAAACATTTAATCACTTTTATCTAAGGTTTTTTTTTCAAACCCAGATTTGACGATGGTGTGCGTGTGACAACAGACAAGGAGAAAGGGAAGGCATTTCTCCAAAGTTTTATAGCTCAGACAGATCATAATGATGTAGACATCAGGGATGCAGTTAGAAAGGAGTTAGCTGGCACCTTGAAGAATATGCATTATGAAGACATGATACAAGTGGAAGATATCAAACACATTTTGAAAAAAAGCAAAAGACACTGCACCAGGGCCTGATTGTGTCAGGTATAGTCACATGAAGGCTTTGAGCGATGTAGACCTGGCAGAGATGGCCGACTGTTTTAACCAGAGTATTAAGACCGCATCAGTACGGCAGGACTGGGTGCACAGCTATCTAATCCCACTACCAAAAGCTTTTAAAGATCATTCTATGCTTAGTGGCTTCAGAATCATCACCTAACAAAACACATTTGGGAAGGTCTTGAAGAAGATAGTTGCTGTAAAGCTACAAGAATTTTTGGAAAGGGGGAAGCTTCTCCCAAGAGGTCTGGGAAGCTACAGGCCAGGAAAGGACACTTGGGCAAATGCGGCCACTTTTGCTTTTGATGTCTATGAAGGGTTCCAGAACAGACAGGAAACTATGGCGGTAGGACTGGATCTCGAGGATGCTTATAACAGAGGGAGATACGACATCTTAATGACTGCACTGAAGGAGAAGGTCAGTCCATGGCTGGTGAATTGGGTTGCAGCTGTCCTGTATTCACGTCGGGTTGCTCTCCGACTGGGCTCATGGACCTCTGAGCCATGCACTTTAGCCCCAGGACTGCCACAGGGATCCGCCATCTCGCCTGTGCTCTTTAAAGTGTATACGAGCAAGATTGCAAGCCTAGAAGCACCAGGAGTTGGAAGGATACTTACTTTTCCGGATGATATACTTGCATATAGGCAGGGGGAAGAGAGGGAACAAACAGCCCAGAAGCTACAAGCGACAGTAGACAGTGACTGAGTGGTGTACAGAAATGAGAGATGTCGTCCACCCGGAAAGGGTGTCTGTTTTGTGGTGTTCTCTGGACAACAGAATCGTTAAAACTAATGTCCCAAGTCTCACGATAGATGGTAGAAACGTCAACAGAGAGAGCAAACTGAAGTATCTGGGAATTACATATGACAGGGGCCTGTCCTTTAAGACCACGTGGAGAGTGTTGTGACGAGATGCCAAAAAAGGACTTAGTGCACTTAAGACTATGGCTGCAATTGACATAGAGCAGGGAATGCTTTTTACACTATATCAGCACCTGATCCTGTCAGTGGTGGATTATGGCCTGGGACTGCTTACCGTCTCAAAGAGTCAGGTGGACAAACTAGAGCGCATACAGAACGCGGCTATGCGGGTCATTCTGGGTTGCACCAGAGACACCCCAGTAGTGTGTATGCGATACATCCTTAGTTTGCCGACGGTTGCAGGCAGGCACAAGCTGCTGCAGGCGAAGTCGGGGAAGCTGCAGACACAGACCACTGAAGCTCATGATGCAGTTAAGGGTCAGCGGCTGATAAGAGGGAAGTCATGGATGGCTCAGGCAGAAGACACAATCAGACAGGTTTGCATCCTTTAGAACATTAGGAGAGGAGTGAGTCAAAGTGCCACCTGAACAGTCAGACTTGTGTGGAGTCATAATCACGCTGAGCCGGGAATAAAAGACTGGCCAGCAGGTGCCACAGAGGTGGAAATTCAGCAATTGATTCAAGATAATGCTCGCTCAGAGGATTTGATCATTTACACTGACGGTTCAGTGTCAAGAGGCAAAAGATGTACTTGGGGCTTCTTAGCAAAAGTTAATGGTCGACGTTTGGTGCAGGAGAGCCTAGCATATGATACCACAACATCCAGCTTAAGAGTGGAGGTGGAGGCAGTCACTGCAGCTTTCCGCTGGCTAGAGAACACAACACACACACACATCGTGATTGTAACTGATTCAGAAAGCATGCCGGGGAAGATCAGAACAGGTATGCTTTAAACCCATTGCGTCAAATAAAAACCCAGATCTGGGGGTAAAAACCCAGCATTAGCACCCCTGCCTGAAACTGAAAAGTAATGGAGGGATTTTCGTTTTGATTTTCGCTACAATATTTTTTTAAAGTAGTATTTAACTGAGTTTCGCATTTGAGTGAAATTGTGGGATTATTTGTCCTATTTTGGACCAAACGTGTGCAGAAGAAGCATTGATCCATTAACGTCATCACTTTCCACTTCTGTCGTTAAGCGTTGTGGGGAGGAAGATTTTGCGATCCATTGCTTGATTGGCAGCAATGGTCATTGCATTCCATGTCGATGTAGATAGAATACTTTGTCATCAATCCATTAACTCATAGGGCGTGTGTAGCGCCTGTGTTGGCAGTTGTTCTGGCTGCATTCTTACTAAATGGCCAAACCATTTCATTTATTGTTTCTCAGTGAATTTGCTGCATGGTGTTGTTCCTACATTCTGGTGGATAGCGTCATTTTTAACATCGTCTCGGATGGTTGAGTTGGCGGCTTTTCTCAGGCATCGCATTTCACAGGTGTCATTTTACGTAGGCTAGCCTTTGATAATGTCCAAGTCTGGCACTGGTAGCACAGCGTTGGTATGAATATGCTGTTTATAATCTGTTTCTTGGCGCTCATATTTAAGTGTAGATGTCTTAATAACTGTTTCAGTTGGTGTGTAAGTGCACTCACTGGCTTGTTGATTGATCAACCATATACTATTTTAAGGTACTGGATACGAGCAGAGAATGACTAAACAGACACTAACGTGGAACATGAAGGGATTGAGTAGGCGACGACGCACACACAAAAAAAGCATATAACTAAAATTTACGAGAGAGGCCAACGGTGCTGAAGTGGGTTACATACATACTTTTGAATTAACTGCACCAGGTAGAAGGGATTGGATGCATAGACCATGAGCCTTATGTGACATATAAAGGCACAACAGGCAATGAAATAATTAATATTAAAGTACTCCGTGCTGAGTTGATTTTTTATTCGCGGTCACCGGCTGTAAACTCCAGCGGAACGTTCAAGTTGTTCATCCACTTCTGGCATATAGGCAGGGGAGTGACAGGCAAGCAAGAGTGACAAGCATCACTTCAGAGGTCCCGGGTAGTGTCCTTTGGATATTTGTTCCAATGTATGCCAGTGTAGTCGGAAAAGAACAAGCAAATAGACTGCACAATTTGGTGGCGAATTGATTTATGACAAAATAGATGTTGTAAGGGCCCTTTAGGGGCGAGCGAACATTTCGGAGGCACCGATAAACATCGTGGGCTAAACAGAATGGTATTGCGAAGAGTGACTAGTGGATCTGGCAGACGATCAACATGCAGCGGAAAGATGAGACGGAAATACAATCAGTTTACAATGTCAAATGTACATGTTAGAGTGAATTATCTGAGTTTTTGCATTCGTTACAAAGCATCGGTGAGCTGTGTTTGTGACATTTCTTTTTAAAGCATAATGCTTGATGCGCGCACGAGAAAGAAACATAATTTAGAGCAAACACAATTAACTGACTCCATCATCCATCAGGTCATCTTCAGAACGTCGCTCTCATCACAGTCTGCCTGTAAGAAACTCGGTCTCTTGCCAGTTCTCCCGCCTCATGAACTTTCACACTCAAGGAGTCACTTATATCCTGTTCCCATCTCCATGTCGGTCGGCCCCTGCCCCTCCTTCCTGGTACCATGCCTTCTGTTGTAATTTTTTCTAATCCGTCGTGGCGCTTGATATGACCACAATTTTTCATCTTACGAGAAAGGATGCTGTTTATTAGCCAATCTTCCTTGATGTTCAGATCTTTTAAGATGTCAGTATTTCTCCTCTTCTTTGTCTAAGATATTCTGAGAATCTTTCTAGAATATTTTAGCTCAAAAGCTCATATTCTCTTTCTAAAGGACTGAGAGATAGTCCATGACTCACATCCGTATGTAACCACAGGGAAGATGCATGCTCTCAAAATTATAATTTTTATCTCCTTGCTGGTGCTTAACCATAGACTTTTAACGCTGTTCAATCGTTGCATTGCTTTGGCCATCCTCCTTTTAATTTCTGTCAAACAGTCTCCATTGCTGTTTATTATAAAGTCTAGATATTCAAAGTTTGTGACATTTTCAATTTCTTCATTTATCGTTATTTTTGGGCGACAGCCAGTTTTATCTGTAGACATTATTTTCGTTTTCTTTAAACTCAAGAACAGATTTTCTTCTTCTTCTTCTTCGATCCTTCTGTCAGAAAACTTATATCAGGAGGCCGGTAGCCTTTATGAATGCTATCGTGCAATCCATATCCTCTCGTGTACCATACAGTTTTGTCTTCAGTGTGGTTGGAACAGGCCAGATTGCGTCTCTGTTGTCAGCACACAGTTGACAGTGTTGGAGCACATGCTCAGCATTTTCGGGTGTAAACATAGTTTTCTTCAAACACAAGATAGTTTGCACATGACAACTGTCGATATTCTCCAAATATGGCTTCTAAATTACCTGTTTGTATTATCCCTAAAAGTAAGATTTCTACATTTAAAGTAGAAAAGTAATAAACAGCCAGTTCCCAGAAATCCGAACTACTGACTAGAAACAGTGACACACACATCACAACACGACTGTCTTCCGTGA